ACAAAAGTGAAAAAAATACCTCACTGTTTAATGGTAAAGCCTCGACTGCCTCACATTTCTAACCTTAATGCAGTGAGTTCCAGGGGAAGCCCGATTTCATGGAGGAATAGGAGTAGGTGAATAAAAGGAGCCAGTACTTCATAGGTTTAGTCTTGTTTTTCCCAGTACATTTTATTGATTATGCATATTGGGCTGGCTATGTCTTAGATGGTTGTACCTCACTCTGGACATTGGTCACCAACTTCAACTCTAGGTGTCCTCCAGGGGGCGTCAGGGCCCAGGACTATGGAGTTCTTTCCCAAAGAGCGCGTGCAGATTCAGGGTTAGTAATCTCTTGGCTCAGTTGGCTCTTTCTCTCTGGCTGGGCAGAGGGGGCATACATGTGGGAGCAGTTGGCAGCATCTCTTCCCATTGCCCTAGTAAGGTTTTGAAACAATTGCTTGGGGGCATGTGAGCCTGGTCCCCTTAAGCAGCTGGCGGGAGTTCTGACTTGTTCGATCGGGTGAAGGCACAGTCTGTTCTTGGTCCTGGGAGGACACAGCCTGGGTTAGCAAACAGCCCCGTGCCTAAGAATTCCTTCAGATAGCCCTCCCGTTACTTCACTCAGAGGCAAATGGTTCCTTCCTAAGAAATCTTTTGCCCTTCATCGAACCAGGTTGTCTGCTTGTATACCAGTCCTGATCCCACACCTCACTTTTCTCCCATCTCAGCTCTGGCATTTTCTACATGTTGGGGGACACTAGGGAGTCAAGCACCTGCCATTTCTGATTGCATATTGGAATCACCTGGGGAGGTTTTAAAACCTGAGGATGCTGAGCCCCACCCCAGAGATTCCAATTTAATTGTTCTGGGGTGAGGCATAGGGCATCAGTGCTTTTGAAAGCTTCCTATGTGATTCTTATGTGCAGCACTACTGAGAATCTCTGGGTCCAAAGCCTTGCTACCTACAAGGTAGATAGAAATTCAGAAATCTCAGTGTCCCTTCCCCAACTCACTGAATCAGAATCTGCATTTCAACAAGATCTTCATGTCATTCAGTTGCACACTGAAGTTTGAGAAGCGTGGATCTCAGCATATAGTTCTGCCTCACCCATGCTTGTCGCCCTGGCCTGCATCACAGCCTCCACAAGTTCTCAAGCTGGGGCAGTGGCTTGCAGAAGTTTTTGACCGTGACCTACAGAAAGAAATAGATTGCATATCAAGACATAGCATGTACAATAAAACAATGTCGCAATATCTCTACTCCCTGCGATGCGCTCATTCATTCAGTGGATGTTGCTGGCACCTACTTTGTGCTAGGCATTGTTCTAGTGCCTGTGCCAGTCTGTTCTCAGACAAAAATCCCCATCTTCGCGAAGTTTACATTCTGTATGGGGGGAGGTTAGAAGGTTAAAAGTCATTAATATGAAGCTATGAGACTTCAGAACTAACCACCCCAAGATGAGCTAAAGGCAATTTTAGCTTCAGCTTCGAGAAACTCCAGCAGGGCAAACTTCTTTTTACTAACAAGTCTTTTCTTCTTGTCATCCTGCAATGACCCTTTGAAGTCCCTAAGGTACATGACTTCATCCCTAGCTTGGGATGTCCTTTATACACCAATTTCCCTTTCTGTCTCTGAACCTCTTCTGCACGTGGGGACTCCGACTCTCACATATGTAGGGTTCCCATATGCATGTATGCATTAAATTTGGTTATTTTCTCTTGCTCATCTATCTCATATCTGTTTGATTATTAGAGCAGCCAGAAGAACCTTGGAGGTAGAAGAAAGTTTGTTCCTCTCCAACAAAGGGCATGTTAGAAGATTAATAAGTCTGGAGAGGTGGGGAACTTTCAGATGCTGGTTCTGTTTCTTGATTTAGGTGCTGGATATATTACTTTGTAAAATTTGCATGTTTTTGCACTTCTCTGGATGTGTGTTATACCTCAATAAAAAGTTCAAAAAATACATTCTGATATTTTCTACTCTATTCTCTTTCATTAAAAAACAAGCCAGTCAAAACCCACAAAATTAAGTTCTCCTCCTATAGTCGTTTAAAAACAAAATTCTATTTCAGCAAACAAAACGGAACAAAAATACTTTCAGCTCCAGCACTCGGCAGCATCCACCATTCTTGGCTAAGCACCTGCCTCAAATATTAGTCAGGCTGCAGTCACCACCCTAAGTCCCCTTCCCTCCCTTCCCGGCAGTGCAACCGTCTCAGTGGAGATTCTTAAGGGCACAATCACAAACCTCTGCCTAGAACTAGACCTGACAAGCCCTTCTCCCTGCAGAGTCATGCTGCTGCGGGCAGCTCTCCTTAAATTCCAAATCTGGGAGGAGGCTGGCACAGGCACGTTAGAGGGTTGGAGTTATTGCTTCAGCCACCTCCTGAATCTTGTGAGTCTTATGCTTCTAGACTGTCATTTGCTCCGTTGCTGACAGCTCCCTGAGGGCTGATACTGGAGTCACAGAACAGTGCAGAGGAGGAGACAGCCTTAGAGATTTCTCCCAGCAAAGCTCCAGTGCTCAATATGGTGGTTGGTGGGGAGAGTCCAGGAGCTGAGATGAGGCAGGATGGGGAAACAGCGGGAGGCCTCTTTTCTGTGACCCTAAAGCTGAAGATAACTACACTTGGGGTGCATTTGGCTCTTGAGAGTAACAGGAGGAGAAGCGGGAGAATTGGGGAGCTGGACTCCTCTAATGAATCACCTATCAGGACTGACCAGCATGCAGGTACTTTGATCTCTTGCTTTGTTTGATTTGGAGCTTGATTTACTTGCAGAGAAGCTTGCTCCGAATCAGTTGTTTGCATCTTTGGACCTCTAAAAATCTAGTTAGAACTAATGCTTCTCAAAGTGAGGCTCCTGGGTTTGGCGTTGCTTTGTTAGGTCTTAGTGGTTCAGAACAGACTTTGGAGTCAGAAAACTGGATTTGAATCCTGGTGTCACTAGTATCAGCTGAATACCCCTGAGCAAGTTACTTACCCATGTAGAGTCTCAGTTCTGCCATCTGTAAAATGGGGATGGTAATGTATACCTCATTGGGTCATGGTAGGGGTTGGATGTGAATAAATGCCAAGTGCAGGTTGGATGTGAATAAATGCCATAGGAAGGCTCCAAAAACTTTAGCAAGTGTCATTACTGACGTAGTGTGAGGGAGGTTGGGGAGAGGACCCCTCAGATTCCTTCCCCCTGACTTTTCCCCTGAGGTTCGGCAAGACCGGGAAAGACCTTAGCCTGACTGCCCACCCGTGGGGTCAGAAGTCCTTCCTATCCTATACCCTCTATTGCCGCAGGGAGGATACATTCACTTCCTGCTCAGCAGCCCTGGCTCCATGGGGAAGGGCAGCTGTTACATACACTGCTATGAAATGGTTTAGTAGAAAGTTGCTCTGCCCACCTCGAGGGGTAAGAGAGGCAATCAGCCAAATCCATCCAGTCCAGCCCTGCCTCCTTCCCCATAGGTGTCTGAAACATGCGGCCTTCTCTTTGCCTTACTGTTGTCTGGCCAGTGGGAGTGTAGTAAGAGCCATCCTTAAACACACTTCCCTGATGTCTGATTTTGGAGAGAGCCAGTATCAGGGCCAACTAGCTCTAAGACTCTGGGTTCTAAACTCCTCATCCTGAGGCTGCCTCCAGCATGCAGGCTGCACTGTCACTGGGAGGAGGAGCTCTTAAGTTTTCTCTGGAAGGGCGCAGGGAGAACAGGGTCTAAGAGGGAGTAGTGTAGGAGGGAGGAAGGCCCCCACTTTTTTTTTGGCCTGGAACTCCTGTCAGTATTCGCGGCAGGAAGGGAAGGGTCACTGGCCTAGGCTGAGAGCGCTCTCCCTTGTTGAAGTACACTTGAGTACCCTTTGAGGAAGGGTGAGATGGGCCCAGATTTACTACTAAAATAGATTAGTACTAAAATTCCTCTCTGCAGTCAAACACTCACTAGATTGTGACCTTGTAAATTTTGTAATCCAATCTCTTTTTAAGGATTTTATTTATTTTTAGACAGAAGGAAAGGAAGAGAAACATCTACCTGTTGCTTTTCATCTGCTCCGAACTAGGGACCTGGCTCAAAACCAGGGCAAGTGCCTAATCTGGAATCAAGCTGGTTCGCAGGCCAGCGCTCAATCCACTGTACAACCTCCTCATTTTAGCAAACTTGGCCAGGTGGAAGTGACTTTTACACTGTCCCATGGTAAGTCAGCACAGCTGAACTGCTACTTAGAATTCAAGACTCCTATTTCAGTGCTCCTCTACTGGGTGTGGTTGACTACACCTTCTCAGTGTGGACGCCCTACCCTAGGCTGCACCTCCGTTTCCTTTTTTGGCATCACAGGAAGGCACCAGCACAACCTGAAGGAGGAGACTGAGGTGAAATGAAGCAGTGGGAGTCGTAGGGGAACGAAAGAACGAGAGTAGGAGGAGTAAACGGGACGAGGCCCTTTAAGAGGGCGGTCTGGCCCCGCCTCCCCGCCCCCCTTCCGGCAGCGCAGGCGCAGGTGGGCTCCAGGAACTCAGGCGGGAGGGCTGGCGCTCCTGGCTCGCTGGCCGGCGTGCGGGGCCGCAGCACCTGCGGGGGCCGGCGTAGGGCGCGGCGTCCGTTGGGCGGACGTCGACGCCGGAGGAGAGGGTGGGGAGGCGTGCAGGGAAAGTCGGGTGGGTCAGGGAGTCGGAGGGACGTGACCCCGCAGCCCTCTCCACGAGGGAAGGGAGCGGTAAGAGCTGGGCGGGGGGTGGTGTGAGCGAGCGCCGAGGGCAGCACCATCTGGAGAGGCGGGACCGCGCGGCCTCTGGGGGGCAAGCGAGTGCGCTGGGCAGTGTGGGCGGGGGACCCCCAGCGGCTCGCGGAAGAGGAGCGGGGCGGACTTAGTCCCGCGCTGCCGGAGCAGCAGCCGCACCGGGTCGGGGTTCTCAGCTGGGGCCCGCAGCACCTCCGCGGGCTGAAGCTCGGCGTGGAGGAGCAGGGGGGCGTGGGTCCGGCAGTTCAGGAGGAGGGCGGGGTGGGCCCGGGGGTGCAGGAGAGGGGCGGCCGCGGCAGAGAGCCCAGCCTGGGGGTGGTGTGGGGGACGCCGGACGGCGCGGACTGGAGGCGCCCGCCGCTGTGGACGGGCTCGGGGAGCTGGCCTGTGGTGCAGGAGGAGGGGCTGGGGGCCCGCAAGCAGCATCAGGAGAAGGGAAGCAGCCTCGCAGTGCAGGAGCGTGGGGAGGTCCGCGCCGGGGTGCAGGAACGGGGGGAGGGGAGCCCACGCCGGCTGCTGCGGCAGTCCGAATTCGAGGACCGCGCCTGGGAGCGCGGGAAGGGGCTCGAAAGTTCTGGGGAGCAGGGCGGGCTGTACTGGGAAAGCTGCAGGCACTTCAGACGGGAGGCGGTGGTTCTAGGAGAGGCCCCGGCTCGCCGAGGGAGACTCGAGCTGGTCGGGAGGGCACGGCCTGTCGGGCCTCGGGGGCCTGAGGGGGAGGGGCGCCTGGGGGTGCAGGAAGCAAATTGGCTGCCCGGGGTGCAGGAGGGACAGGTGGTGCGGGCTGTCCAGGAAACATTTCTAGACGGGAAGGGGTCCCAGGAAGGAGAGAGACCCCCTGAGGGGCACAGGATCCGGAGGCGCCGGCGGCGGAGGAGGTGGTAACCCCACAGGCTGGCAGCCCAGCACCAGGATCTCTCCAGGATTGAAGTGAACGCAAGATGTAGGGGTTTGGGAAGTGGAGAGCAGAAGCACACTGACAGCGTCTGTGTCCTGCTGGATCCTCCTCTGCCATCTCAGCCTGGACATCATTGAAGCTGTGTCCGCAGAAAGACAGCAGAAGGTAGGGAAGTCCATTTCTGCTCTCATCTGGAATTGGTGTGTTTGGAATCAGGGTGGGGGGTGCAGTTATCTGAGGTGCGGGTGTTCTCCAAACTGCCCCTTTTCACTCTCTTGTGTTTAAACCAGGGGAGAGAGGAAGCGGTGCAGTTTTCAACAGCGAAGCAGGACTTCCCCCAGTGCTGTATATGCCAACTAGAGTGATGGGGCATTTCCTTAGAGTCTAGACTGGAGGTGAGATTGGGTGGCTGCCAGGCCTGGGCAGAGGGAGGAGGGGTAGCCCCAGGTCGAGGTTGTAGGGGAGGTAGTCATCCCTGTACCTGTGGAGATAGGGGTGCTTTCTTGCCATAGCTGGGGTGGTGCAATCGGCATAGGTTGTTGTCTCAATTCCAAGAAGGGAAGAAGGCAGCGTTGTGTAAACAGAACCTTATCTTGCAGCCTTGTTGCCCACGTGAGCTGAGGCAGCCAGTGACTTGGGCACGAGCCTGACTTGCTCCTGTCACACCTTCTTGTCACAGCTGATTAATATTGAGGGCTCAGATCCAAGGATGAATAGTGGGCAGAAGGGTAGAGAGCTCCTGGGTAGGCTTTCTGTCCCTGGGCTGTCAGGACCCTAGCCTGAACGGGGGCGGGGGACAGGACAGGGTATCTACACCATTGGACTCTGGTCATCCTTTGTGGCCCAGACCTCAGCTTCACCCTGTGGAGGTGGACAGATGGGCAGCACTGGCATCGTGGGTTCTGTACCCATGGGTCCTCCTAGGGCTGCTCACCTTTAATGTGGTACTGTCTGGGTTTTTGCTTCCCTGGTCCTTGGGGTTGGGGACGGTGTGAAGAATTGCTGCCTGCCTCAGGGCCTTAGGTGGGACCCATCTCTGCCCGATCCCAAGGTATGGCTCAGAGTCACATGGCTTCCTGACCCCTGTCTGAAGCAGGCAGGGTGGAGATAGTTGGAACCAGAGAAGTGGTGGTGGCTAGGCAGACAGCTGCTGGGACTGCGCTGGAGGAGCCGGTTAGCCTGCCCCTCAGTCAAACCCAAACCTGTCTGTCACCTTCATTCCCCACCTGCCTATTTCACTGCCACCCCAAACATTCATGCACCTGAAGTTCACATTGCTGTGTCCACTCTGCCTAGCTCTTCTGGGATGGTCAGACTGGTTCTGTCTCTGGCTTCAATGCAGAAAAATTGTCGGTTCTAAACACATATGCACAAGCACACACCTTCACCCTATATTTCACGCCGACATTTTTCAATTTGTTGGTTGCTGAAAATGAGGAGAAAGATTTTGCCACATCTAGGTTTAGATTACTTATTAGCTATGTAACTCCTGGGGCAAGATAATGTCTCTGGGCTTCAGTTTCCTTGTCTGTGCCCGGGGCCATGCCTTTCCCTACTGTGTCCTGAGTGCAGAGGGCTCGAACTGGTCTGGTGCCCACCTCCCCAGGAGCCCTGGCTGGCAGATTTGGGGGAAGAGGGGCCACTGCTGCCAGATGTTTTACTTTGGCTCCTACGCCCACAGTTACCCTCCTGCCTTATACTTTATTTTGGAACATGATGTGCTTTTTTGTTTGTTTTTAGTAATAGTTTTATTGAGGTATAGTGACATTCGGTAAATTGAACATACTTAAAACATAATTTAATATTTTATTTATTTACTTTTAGAGAGAGAGGGAGAAAGGGAGAGAGAAAAACAGCAGTGTGTGAGAGATATGTGGATCTGTTGCCTCTTGTACACCTCCAGCCAGGGACCTGGCCCAGAACCCAGGCATTTGCCCTGACCTGACCGGGAATCAAACCGGCGACCTTTTGGTTCATAGGGCGGCACTCAATCCACTGAGCCATACCAGCCAGGGCTAATGTTTTAATATATGTCTCCACCCATGAAACCACCACCACCACCACAATGAAGATAATGAACATACTCATTATTCCCAAACCGCCAAAAGTTTTTTTTGGGCCCCTCCATAATCTTCATTTCACCCTTCCTTTGCCATCCCTGCTTCCCCAGGTAACAGAATGGTTTGCTCACTGTCACCATAGATTAGTTCATAGGACCTCGAGTTTTATGTAAATGGAACCACACTGCGTGTGCTCTTTTCTTTTGCTTGGCTTTTTTCACTGACCATAATTATTTTGAGATCCATCCATTTGAGATCTTCTGTTGCAGATATTAATAGCTTGTTCCTTTTTATTGCTGAGTAGTATTCCATTGTGTGTATATACCACAGTCTCTTCATTCATTCACCTTTTGATGGGTTGTTTTCAGTTTTTGCTTATTACAAATAAAGCTATGAACATTTGTTGAAGTCTTTGTATGGACAGATGCTTTTTATTTATTTGTCTTGGATAAATCCTTAGGACTGGAATGGTTGGATTGGATCATATGGTAGGTGTACATTTAACTCAAGAAACTGCCAGACTGTTTTCCATTTTATACACTTGCCTATTATGTATAAAAGTTCTCGTTTGTCCACTTCTTTGTCAACACTTGTTATAATTAGTCTCTTTAATTTGAGACATTCTAATATGTGTGTGTGTGTGTACACACACACACACACACACACACACACACACATGCACACTGTGCTTTTAATGTCATGTTGAAGAAATCTTTGCCTAACCCAAAGCACTGTGGTTTTCTTCTACAAGTTTGATAGTTAATGGGTTTTACATTTAGGTCTCTCATTTATTTGGTGTTAATTCTTGTATATGGTAAAAGTTATGAGTTGAAGTTGAGTTTTTTAATGTAGGTATTCAAGTTGTTTGAGCACCATTTGTTGAAAATACTTGTCTCTCTATGGAATTGCCTTTGCACCTTTGTGAAAAATCAATTGTCTATATATGTGTGGATCTAATTCTGGACTGTCTTTTGTTTCATTGATGCATTTATCTTTCTTTATCCCGTTATCTTGATCACTGTAGATTTATAGTAAGTCTTGAAATCAGGGTAAGATCTTGAACTTTGTTCTTCCTTTTCAAAATTGCTTCAGTTATTCTAGGTTCTTCGCATTCCACATGCATTTTAGAATCAGTTTATTAATTTCTACAGCCCCCCCCACTGGTATTTTGTTTGCGAGTGCATTGAATCTATAGATCCGTTAGGGGAGAATGGGCATCTTAGCAGCACTGAACCTTCTGACCCATGAACATTGTAGATCTCTGTATTTATTTAGATTTTTAAGAATTTCACTAATTGTTTGTAGTTTACAGTATGTAGATCTTTCACATCTGTTGTTGGATATATCCTTAAGCAGTCACATATTTTTTTCAGTGCTATTGTAAAGGATATTTTTATGGTATTTGTTTAATTTCTTTTCTTTTTTTTTTTTTTAGCAATTTCATTTATGTTTAGAGAGGGGAGAAGTGAGGGAGAAAGAGAGAGAAACATCAATGCATGGTTGCCTCTCACACGCTGCCCAGGTGGGGATCTGGCCCGCAACCCAGGAATGTGCCCTGACTGGGAATCGAACCTGTGACCTTTCACTTCACAGACCAGCACTCAGTCCACTGAACCACATCAGCTAGGGCTGTTTCTTTTTAATTTTTAAAAATTGTATTTATCTCAATTGTGGTGAAATATACATAACATAAAATTTACTGTTTCAACGATCTTTAAGTGTATAGTTCAGTATTGTTAGGTACATTCATATTATCATACAGTCATCATCACCCTCCGTTTTCAGAACTTTTTTCATCTTACAAAACTAAAACTCTGTGCCTATTAAACAGTAACTCTCCATTTCTTCCTCCACCCCAGCCCCTTCAATCTACTTTCTGTCTCTGAATTTGACTTCTCTAAATGTCTCATAGATGTAGGGTCATACAGTACTTACTCTTTTGTCACTTCTTTTCTCTTACCATGATGTGTTCAGGCTTCATCCATGTTGTAGCATGTGCTAGAATTTCCTTCCTTTTAAGGTTGAATAATACATTGTATTAATGTGCTTCAGTGATACTGCTGTAAGGTGGTGGTGTTACTTTTTAAATTTCAGTTTCCAATGGTTTGTTGCTGGTATATGCAAATACAAATGATTTTTGTACAAGGAGTGGCCCCCCAAAAAACTGGAATTCTGGTGGGCCCCTTGTAATACAGGCTTCTCCTGCGAGGCGAATGTTCTAGGAGCCCATGTATATCAGTCTGTCAGCTTGCATTGTTGACAGAGGCTCTGTCTGGCTTCAGTGAAAAATTTTTGAAGACTCTTGCCCATTTCGTGATGGATGGTATCTGCCCACACCACATTGTGTGTTCAGCAGTTTTGACCCAAAACGGCATGACTCCTGTGCCCCACCCTCCCTATTCACCTGATCTCACCCCAAGCGACCTTTTATGTTTCTTCGTGTTCCCCGTGATGAAAAAAGTCCTGAAAGGGAAATGTTTTGTGGAAGAGGTGAAACAAAAAACAACAAGAGCGCAGCATCCAAATCAATGAGTTCAGAAACCGTTTGGAGCAGTGGAAAGAAAGATGTGTTGCATCAGATGGAGAGCACTTTGAAGGAGACTGAAGTTTAAACATGTGAGAATAAATACACAGTTTTTTAATAAATAAATTTTAGGTTTTTTTCCTGGAATTTTCTCCAGGATATTGCATATCAACAATATTGTATATTTTCCCTCCTTGTATATTTACACTGAATTCTCCCACCTTGCTAAGCTGCCTTATTCTTAACAGCTTTTTTGTAGCTTCCATTGAATTTTATACGTAGACCGTCATGTCATCTGCTAATAAAGATAGTTTTACTTCTTCCTTTCTGATCTTTGTGCCTGTTATTTCTTTTCCTTGCCTGATCGCACTGGCTATGTCCTCTGATATAATGTTGAGTAGAACATCAGATTGCTTGTTTCTGATTTTCAGGGGGAAGTGTTTAGTCTCCTCACTGTTTGCATAATATCAGCTGTCATTTTTTCATATATGAGCTTGATTAGGTGAAGAAGCTCCCTTCTATTCCTGCTCATTTGAGATATTTAATAGGAATGGATGTTGCATTTTGTCAAATTCTTTTTTGTTTTGTCAAAACGATCATAAAATTTTCTGTTTTAGTTTTTTAATACGTTGAATTACATTGATTGATTTTTAGATGTTAAAGCAGCCTTACGTTCCTGAGACAAACTCCACTTGGTCATGATGGGTTTATTCTCTCTGTATATATTGTTGAATTCTGTTTGCTGAAGAATATGTTAAGAATTTTTGCATCTGTGTTTATGAGGATAGTTTTCTCTTTTTTTTGGTAATGT